GTATGTTCCTATGAAGGGGGTATGAGGATGGGACAATGATACATGAGAAATCTCACACACAAACCACAGAAGGACAACTAATAGTGAGCCTGGAGGTCATAATGTCCTCATTTCTGTATCCGGGATGGAGACGCGGATTCCTCTTCTTCACACTTTGTGTTCTCAGACACATTCTATTTGAGGATTATTCCACCACAAGAGGAAGACAACGGCCACAACGTTGCAGAACATTTGTCACTTTAACAAGACATTGTTTCCTGTTATGTTGTTGTGTGTCACACCAAGGAAAAGAAACCGAATTATATTTTTAATTATATTTTTTTAAAGTAACTCATTTTTTTTTCATGGTAAGTCCACGCACATATAACATAACAAAAATGTCCTATTTATTTTATTTATATAAAGAACAACGAATAAATAATTAGTGACACATAGAAAGAAAAATGATAGTGGAATATGAGTTGCTGCAAAAAATGCTTGAAGTGTTCCCACACATTATACAACCAAAATGAAGATATAATAGTGTTGTGTTCAGGGGCGGACTGACCATTTGGAAACTCGGGCACTGCCCGAGGGCCCGGGGGTCAGTAGGGGGCCCCATGAGATGCCCCTAGTACCGTTTTCATAGGCTTTTTTGAGTTTGGGCAAGGACACAGGGGCCCCATGATCCCCTATTGCCCGGGGGCCCCATGAGATGCCCTTAGTACCGTTTTCATAGGCTTTTTTGAGTTTGGGCAAGGACACAGGGGCCCCATGATCCCCTATTGCCCGGGGGCCCCATGAGTTTGTCAGTCCGCCCCTGGTTGTGCTACTTGTGACATTTTTTACCTCTCGCCCTCCAGAGGATTCCCCATCTTGACCAGGCCATTTTTTGCGATACGGCGCTGCGTTACTTTAACTGACAATTGCACAGTCATGCAACGCCGCATCCAAATGACATATACGTCCTTTTTTCCCCACAAATAGAGCTTTCTTTCTGTGGTATTTGATTGCCTGTGCGGTTTTTATTTTTTGCGCTATAAAAAAAAAAAATGGCAGACAATTTTAAGAAAAAAAAAACAATTTTTTGGACTTTTTGCTATTAAACATGTTTTTAGTTTTTGTGCTATAAACAAAAAAAGACTGAAAATTTTGAGAAAAAAAAAAACTATACTTTTGACATTTTGCTATTAAACATGTAAAAAAAAAAAAAATTTTTTGTTATAAATTTAGGCCAAAATGTATTCTGCTCCGTGTCTTTGCTAATAAAAAAAAAATCCCAATACGTGTAAATGAATTGGTTTACGTGAAAGCTGTAGCGTCTACAAATGGCGGTATAGATACTGGGATTTTGTTAAAAATGATTTTTACTAGTAATGGCGTCGATCGGCAACTTATAGCAGTGGGCATTCTGACACTGGGGGGAACTGACTTGGTGTCACTGACATATACTGGGATTTTTTTTTTTACTTGTAATGGTGGCGATCAGCGACTTATAGCAGGACTGCGGCGGGCATTCTGACACTGGGGAAACTGACTTGGTGTCACTAACATCCCCAGTGACACCAATGCAGTGATCAGTATATACTGCTACAGGGTGGCACGGGTGTGCAAAATCATGTGTGTGTATATATATATATATATATATATATATATATGAGTTTACATTTCCAGGTAGGGGGCACACTATCCGTGCCGCCATTCACGGCCGTCTATCACCCAGTGATTGTCAAGGATCTCCAAAGAGGGGGAGAACTGTATGTAAACAGTACAATTCTCCTGCCTGTCAGCTCCTGCACACTGCACAGCACAGCCACGCAAAGCAGTGTGGTACAGTGAAGCACACAGACACACAGCACCATAGTAAATCTCACCCAGCACACAGTTACCTCTTTGAGGCGATAAAAGACTCTATGGTCTCTGGTTGCCTCTATCATGATGGAGGACCGGGGCATTGTCAGGACGTCACTTCTGGTCAACAGTGGATGTAAACATTTTTTTTTCTTTTTTAACACGAAAGATCAAAACTTTTTTTTTATCTTTTGCTTTTAAAGGTGTAGAAGAAATATGGGGCCTTTTTGACCTCAGATCTCTTCTTCAAGGGGACCTGTCATGCATATTTCTATTACAAAGGATGTTTACATTCCTTGTGATAGGAATAAAAGTGATAAAATAAAAAATAAATAATAAAAAAATAATAATAAAATAAAAAAAATAGATCGTGTAAAAATAAAAATAATAAATTCAATAAATAAGAAAAACATTTTTAAAGCGCCCCCATCCCTCCATGCTCATGGACAGAAGCGAAAGCATATATAAATCATTCAAACATATGTAAACAGTGTTCGCAGCACGCATGTGAGGTATCGCCATGAACGCCAGAGCGAGAGCAATAATTCTAGAGCTAGACCCCCTCTGTAACTCTAAACGGGTAACCTGTAAAAACATTTTAAAATGGTGCCTATGGAGATATTTAAGTATCGTCGTTTGTCGCCATTCCACGAGCGTGCCCAATTTTAAAGCATGTCAGGCTAGGTATCTATTTACTCGCTGCAACTCTTTCATATTTTAAAAAAAAAATTGGGATATATATTGTGTTTTGCTTTGTTTTTTTAATTCACAAAAGTGTATTTTTTTCCAAATAAACTGTGTTTGAAAAATCACTGCGCAAATATCAAGTGACATAAAAAATTGCAATGATCGCCTTTTCATTCTCTAGGGTCTTTGCTAAAAAATATATATAGTGTTTGGGCGCTATAAGTCATTTTCTGGCACAAAATACTGATTTAAAAACTTTGAAATAAAATGCTTGGTCTTCAATTAAATTCAAGGAACCCCCCCCAAAAAAAAAAATCAAAATAACACCCCAACACTGAAATCTGCTTTTTTTTTTAAAGGAAATCCTTCCAGCCCCCAAAAAAAATCAGTTTAACCTCACAAAACGGCCCTATCAACTTACAGTATAAATATACCAATAAAATAAAAAATATGTCCATGAAATGAATACCCCCCCCCCCACCCCAAATATCACCTTCAGAAACAAAGTAGATTCTTGCAGAAAAAGAAAATGTATGTCACACATCAGCAGCATTGGGGGGTTCAAGTCTGTGTGCAAGTCTGACAAGCTGGTCAGCTGCCCGATCCACACAGCCCTGAGATATTCAAGGCCAGTTGTAGACTGGGGCAGTGGCCATTTTTTGTGACATTCACCCCCCCCCCCCCCATCACATTTTATGAGCTCCACACCCCCATCTGCAGACCAGGGACCGGCACGGTGGGGCCACCAGATAGATACCGAGATTGAGTCACTGCTCTCCCATACTCAGTTAGAACCTTCATCTACCTATATGCAATTTGCCAAGTTTGCCTATTATTTTCCCACAATGGCTTCCAGTTCATGGACACCATGGCGGCTCTTTACTCCATTATAAAGTGGGGGGGGGGGGCTGGTACATAAAGCCCCCATTATTGGCATATATAAGCCTGCTGGCCACAAGTATCTTACAATGAGTGATGGTTACAAAAGAATTTGAGCAGCTGAGTTACAGAATGACTTTGCCAGGGCCATGATCTCCAACCATGGTAGACCCGAACCTGAACCCCATCACTAATGGTCAGTAATAGGATGAAGAGGAGGACAGACAGACTTACCCAGACTGAAGATTCTGGATGTCAGTTCTCTGATGTGATCTCAGTGCTGAGCACACTGACACAGGATGTTGACTAGAGGTCTCTGAATGTGTTATGTGCGTGTTGGGGGGAGGTGGGGGGGAGTCACATCTTCTCACCTTCTGTAATGAGGAACAAATCATCCAACAGCTCTACTGAGAAGTCCCACCACAGATCTATACAGACAAACCTACAAACACCCAGCCAGGGCTGCTGAATATACATTCTCGGTATCTGTCCTCATTCTGTATGTATGGACTCTGCACAGTCCCACTTCTCCTGTCCCGGATGCCGGGTGTCATTCTCGGTATCTGTCCTTATTCTGTATGTAGGGACTCTGCACAGTCCCACTTCTCTTGTCCTGAATGCCGGGTGTCATTCTCGGTATCTCCCCTTATTCTGTATGTATGGACTCTGCACAGTCCCACTTCTCCTGTCCTGGATGCCGGGTGTCATCCTCGGTATCTGTCCTTATTCTGTATATATGGACTCTGCGCAGTCCCACTTCTCTTGTCCTGAATGCCGGGTGTCATTCTCGGTATCTGTCCTTGTTCTGTATGTATGGATTCTGCACAGTCCCATTTCTCCTGTCCCGGATGCCGGGTGTCATTCTCGGTATCTGTCCCTATTCTGTATATATGGACTCTGCACAGTCCCACTTCTCCTGTCCCGGATGCCGGGTGTCATTCTCGGTATCTGTCCTTGTTCTGTATGTATGGATTCTGCACAGTCCCATTTCTCCTGTCCCGGATGCCGGGTGTCATTCTCGGTATCTGTCCTTGTTCTGTATGTATGGATTCTGCACAGTCCCATTTCTCCTGTCCCGGATGCCGGGTGTCATTCTCGGTATCTGTCCTTGTTCTGTATGTATGGACTCTGCACAGTCCCACTTGTCCTGTCCCGGATGCCGGGTGTCATTCTCGGTATCTGTCCTTGTTCTGTATGTATGGATTCTGCACAGTCCCACTTCTCCTGTCCCGGATGCCAGGTGTCATTCTCGGTATCTGTCCTTGTTCTGTATGTATGGACTCTGCAGAGTCCCACTTCTCCTGTCCTGGATGCCAGGTGTCATTCTCGGTATCTGTCCCTACTCTGTATGTATGGACTCTGCAGAGTCCCACTTCTCCTGTCCCGGGTGCCAGGTGTCATTCTCGGTATCTGTCCTTGTTCTGTGTGTATGGACTCTCACAGTCCCACTTCTCCTGTCCCGGGATGCCGGTGTCATTCTCGGTATCTGTCCTCCTGTTCTGTGTGTATGGACTCTGCACAGTCCCACTTCTCCTGTCCCCGGATGCCGGGTGTCATTCTCGGTATCTGTCCTTGTTCTGTATGTATGGACTCTGCAGAGTCCCACTTCTCCTGTCCCGGATGCCGGGTGTCATTCTGGTATCTGTCCCTACTTCTGTATGTATGGACTCTGCACAGTCCCCCGGACTTCTCCTGTCCTGGTCCCACTTCTTGTCTGCCGCCGGGTGTCATTCCTGTAAGACAGTATCTGTCCTGCTGAAAGATACATTCTCGTGTCCTCATTCTGTATGTATGGACTCTGCACAGTCCCACTTCTCCTGTCCCGGATGCCGGGTGTCATTCTCGGTATCTGTCCTTATTCTGTATGTATGGACTCTGCACAGTCCCACTTCTCCTGTCCTGGATGCCGGGTGTCCCTCAGTATCTGTCCTTATTCTGTATGTATGGACTCTGCACAGTCTCACTTCTCCTGTCCCGGATGCCGGGTGTCATTCTCGGTATCTGTCCCTACTCTGTATGTATGGACTCTGAATGGTTGCTCCAAGACACCCACTCCAAACAAACACCTTGGATGAGCCGTATTCCTCATAAACATAGTTCTTTATCCTTTTAAAACCTTTTATTGCACAGCAACCAATACAAACGCACTCACATTTAATAGGTACCAGGTATGATCAGCATCCAGTAATGAGCTCCTTAGACACCAGGTGGCAGTATCATCCCCATCAGCACAAAACAGAACACCGAATTGAAGCTCCAGCTCATCCCAATCTGTATAACAGGCAATGGCCTATTGAATGTATTTACCTTCTTTCTGGGGCCAAATCTCCCTCCCTTATCCAGGACTTCGATCTCTTCTTTACTAAGTTCACCTGCTCTAATATTGACAATTCCATCACCTATTGGTCTCTTTGTTTTTTCCGGCCTTCTCTGCGCCCCCTCCTCCGTTGGGACTTCTTCTTACTGGCGTCCCTCTTTCTTGCCTTGGTTGGGGTCTCTCTTGTCTCCATTATACAACAGATATGAGGCCCTGAGATATGATGAGACCTATTATAACACCCCAAGAGATTTTTTAGGGGAGAGGAGACAAGAGAGACTCCAACCATGGCAAGAAAGAGGGACTCCAGAAGTCCCAATGGAGGAGGGGGTGCAGAGCAGGCTGGAAAAAAACAAGCGAAAAAGAGACCAACAGATGATGGAATTTTCAATAGAATATAGTACTTACTTGGGAGATAAATGAGAAGACAATTAATTTCCTCGATTTGGAAATTATATTACAGCAACATCATTTAACCTCCCTGGTGGTATTCCCGAGTGTAGCTCGGGGTAAAGTTTCAGCACCACAAGCGGTAACCCCGAGCTACACTCGGGCTTACCATGCGGAGTTGCTCTGGGATCCCTGTTTGACTTACCTTGTCCTGCGCTCCTGCGATGTCCCCCCTGCAGTGTCCCCTGTAATCTCCTCTGGCCGATGCCAGCATCCTTCTTCCGGGTTCCGGTCCCTGCGAGCGTCGGGACGTACGGGGGACGGAACTGGCAGGAAATTAAAAATTTTTAAAAGTGACATTCACTAAATACACTAAAATCACATCGTATAACATTCCTGTATCAAACCATTTCACATACATTGTGTCCCGAGTGCTTTGTCCGGCGCCCTGCCTGCATTTTTACTGTTCTTTCTGCCTGGAAACTGAGAAACGTCCATGGCGTCCAAAAAGCGTCCCTTTAGGTCAGACGCGGTTTTAGACCGGCTAGAGAACAGCGATAGTAAATCAGAACCACTTGCAGAATTGAGTGATAATGATTTGTGGGGGAAATTCCTCATCAGACACTGAAAACGATTCTGCGACTGAGCTCAGCGATGTGCGAACTTGGCGCTATATTTCACATTTCAGTGTTTTTGGTTTTATTATATTATTGAATTACATTTATTATTATTATATTATTTTTTATGATTATTTATTATATTATCATTTATGATTTCGTGTTTCAAATTTTATCATCCCCGGGATGTTTACTAGACTCTTGTTCGGACAGATTATTGCTAAGAATTACAGGCCTACAATAAAAAAACAACACATTTCCATTGAAAACAATGTACCGCTTTGAGCACAGAAATACTGACATCATCAGACCGCTAGGGAGGTTAATCGGAAAAATAACTAATTTTAAAGCAACAAGTACAAATAAAGATTATTTAATTCGAGATTTTATTACATGCCAGACAGAAGGGGTAGTTTATGTGCTGGAATGTGGCTGTTGGATACAATATGTTGGACGCACAAAAAGAGGATTAGGGAACATATTCAGAATATCGCTAAAGGGTTCAAAAACCATAGTGTACCAAGACATTTCACTACTATGCATAATAAAGATCCTTCCAGTTTATTATTTTGGGGTATTGAGAGGTACTATCCCCACTGGAGGGGCAGTAATAAAGTCAGCGAGAATCTTTTTGGATATGCAAAATGTAGACTTTTTATCCATCAGGGCATAATGTAGAATTCAACTTAAATTGTTTTATCACTAATCATTAATGTGGGTTTTATCTGTTTTTATAGGCCTTATATTAATTATGTATTTTTATTTTTCCTTTTTATTATTTATCAATATTGATGAATATCATTAGTGTTAAGTATACAATACAATGAATTATAATTATTTTTTTTTACTTGGGTGATGTTATACTTTTTGACCACAAGATGGGGCTGTACAAGATCATGGGTTTTTTTTAACTTTTTCCTGAGCTTTTAACCACTTCCAGTCTGGACACTCCCCCCCCCCCCCTTCCAGTCCGGGCACTCCCCCCCCTTCCAGTCCGGACACTTTCCCCCCCCTTCCAGTCCGGACACTTTCACCCCCTTCCTGTCCGGACACTTTCCCCCCCTTCCAGTCCGGACACTTTCCCCCCCTTCCCCCTTTCCAGTCCGGACACTTTCCCGCCCTTCCAGTCCGGACACTTTCCCGCCCTTCCAGTCCAGACACTTTCCCGCCCTTCCAGTCCGGACACTTTCTCCCCCTTCCAGTCCGGACACTTTCCCCCCCCCCTTCCTTTTATTTTTTTTTTTTACATACTGTCACCCTAGCAGTACAGTGTCACCATGGTGACACTGTACTACTTGTGGGGGGTGATGAAGATTTTTTTTTTTTTTTTTTTTTTTTTACACTGATTGCTTTTACACCCATATAGGATGTAAAAGCAATCATTTTTCTTTCTCTCTGTGTGCATTCTTGCAGTCATTGAGAAGTACTGAGTGAGCTGTGATTGGTCACAGCTTGTCACATGGTACAAGGCTTGTACCATGTGACCTCTGTGATCATTCACAGATTTCACACGTAGAAGTGACATCTTGCTTACTACTTTGCATGTGATCACTGATTGGCCAATCAGTGATCACATGATCGGGACCTGGTACAGAGGTCCCGTCCGACGATCTGTGTTTCACTGTGTCCGGAGCACACAGCGGGCACCGGATCGTGGTGCTGCGCGCTTCCAGGGAGTGCGCACAAGCAGGGTGCGGGGAGGCCGTTTATTAACGGCCACCCGACCCTGCACTGCCACAGTCCGGCCGTTTATATGCAACGGCCGGTGGGGAAGTGGTTAAAGTTTTTATTTTAATAATATTGTTGTATAATAAATTTAGGTGGGATTGTTTGTGTGTTATGATAATAAAGTTTTTGTTCCATGTGAAATGTGACATCAGCGATGTTGCAGGCTCTACGGAACGAAGCAGAAACAGTAGTCATGGTTACCTAGATGCATTTATGGGTGTGAACGTCACTGGGCGGTCTTTTCCCTGACAAAGCTACGCGCGGTTGGCGGCGTAACGCGTGGGGGCTGAGCCTAGTGACATCATTGTCGGCTTTTTATGGAGCGGGAGTTTTGAATTGCAAAATTGTTACTGCTTCTATCATGTGAATGACACTCTGAAATTATTTTATGGAATTAAACATTATTACACTATGGGAGGTGTTCTCTGTTCTTTCTGTATGTGGAGCTAAGCTGAGAAGAGTCCCATATATACTGTCATTGAAGGGGTTCCTGTCATCAGCTCTCTGCTGCCATCTACAGCATCATTTTAGAATTACCATTCTTGGTTGACCTGTATTAATTTATGGGTCCACTGTAGGAGGTGACCGGCCATCCATATATATTTTTAGGAACACTAAGTTAAGGTGGAGCACTGTGTTTTTTCAAATAGACTTTATTTATCATCGCAGTGATTATTCACCCATCAAGCACTTTATATTTATATTTCATATTTTGATTGAACTATCACGTTTGAATCTGTTTATGGACTATTATGTTTATATGAGTTAGCACAACACTGTTTATGTATGTTTTACATTCACCTTATATATAGAGCCGGTGCCATTTTGTTGTAGACCAAACCGACATGTAGATCATATGTCAATCGGCGCCATTTTTTGGAGATCAATTGGGAAACTGTACTATGGTAAACACCGTTCCCCTGCTCGAACCACCGAGACCACCGAGAAATGTAATAATAAAAAAAGACTCCTTTAGTAGTTCTATATCAAGGAGGGTGTACTGATGAGGAGGCACTGATGAAGCTGCACTGATATGTGGCACTGATGAAGCTGCACTGATTGGTGGCACTGATGGGCACTGTTAGGTGGCACCGATGGGCACTGATAGACAAGACTGATGAGGAGGCACTGACAGGCATCACTGAAGAGCACTGATAGCCAGCATTGATGGGCGCTGACAGACATCACTGATAGGCACTGAAAGGTGGCACTGATGGGCACTGATGGGCGCTGATAGGTGGCACTAATCGGCACTGATAGACAAGACTGATGAGGAGGTACTGATAGGCAGCACTGACAGGCATTACTGAAGAGTACTGATAGCCAAAATTTATTGGGCACTGACAGGCATCACTGATAGGCACTGAAAGGTGGCACTGATGGGGCTACACTGATAATCAGGGCACTGTGTAGATTGCCACTGATGGGCTCTCTCTGTAGATGTCCACTTACGGCTTTTCCTGTTTACACTGTAATCAGCTGTGATTGGACACAGCTGGTCATATGGTAAAGGAATGCTCTGATTGGCCCTTTTACCACGATTTGTGATCAGCTGTATCCAAAGGATACAGCGATCACAGATTGCACCCGGTGCGCCCGACGGGGTGCGCAGGGGTGTGTGGTTCTGGGCAGATGTCCATGGATGCCCTCCCAGAACTAGCCGACCACGCTGTAGTCAATTTTTGGCTACAGCGCGGGTGGCAAGTGGCTAAACACTGGAGTTCTCTGGACCCATAGTTGATCTACAGGCAGCTAGTTGTAATGAATTAATTCCGATCCATCACATCTACATCCAGTAACCCACAGACTAAAGTAGCTTCAGCTCAAGTCCACCTGAAAAACTGACAAGCAGACTAGATCAGGCCACTCATGTGGAAGGGTCCTTAATGATGTGCTTAGCGTGGGGAAGTGTATAACAATGCTCAGCAAGAAGCTAAGTGAGAAGCAGGGGCTTCCATTTGGAAACTCGGGCACTGCCCGGGGT